GCATCAACCGGTACTAGGACTGTCAAAGTCTTCCGCAAACCCCGCGTAGGCGTCTTGAGCACCGGTGACGAGCTCGTGGAGCACAATGACCCGCGAACTCTCACAGGCGGTCAGATCCGCGACTCCAACCGCCCCTCTCTTCTCTCATGTCTGAACTCATGGGGCTTCGAAACCGTCGACCTCGGCATCGCTCGCGACACACCTGCCAGCGAGCTCGAGCACGCCCTCCGCGACTCCCTCCGCGGCGTAGGCCGAGCCTCCACTAGCGTCGACGTTATAATCACAACTGGCGGCGTCTCAATGGGCGAGCTCGACCTCCTCAAGCCGACCATCGAGCGTTCCCTCGGTGGCACCATCCACTTCGGCCGTGTTTCCATGAAACCGGGCAAACCAACCACCTTCGCAACCGTCCCCTTCAAACCGACCGGCGACGCCACATCCTCTCAGCAGGAGCGCCAATCAAAGCTCATCTTCTCGCTCCCTGGAAACCCGGCCTCCGCCCTCGTCACCCTCAACCTGTTTGTGCTTCCCTCGCTGCACAAGCTCACCGGCCTCGGCCACAGCTCCCAGGCACTCAGCTCTAGGCCTTGGCTTGCGCCGCAGCTTGGTCTCCCGCGCGTCGCTGTCGTCTTGACGCACCACTTCCCGCTCGATCCCAAGCGCACGGAATACCACCGTGCTGTCGTTACGGCATCGCGCTCGGATGGTCGGTTGTACGCGACGAGCACGGGGGTGGAGGGTGCCGGACAGCGGTCCTCGAAGGTCGGCAGTTTGGCGAAGGCGAATGCATTGGTGGTGCTGCGGGCTGGACGGGGAGTTGGCATCAAGGGTGAGATCGTGGAGGCTTTGTTGATGGGGGATGTTCATGGCTCGGACACCCGGGTCATCTGCTAAAGATGCCATACGATATATGATTTATGTCCAGACGGAGATTGAATCTCCTGAAAACTACTTGTGTTTTGGTTTCTTATCTGTCTGTCTCTGAGTTTTGTACATTTCTTGCCTTCTCGTCTTGTCTTCACATTTTTCGATCCTCTTTTTGATCAGACGATACAGTCACCAACTAAGTTTCCTTCATTGATGAGAATACAAATACATTGTGGTTTTTTATATGGAACGAGTCTCGTATGTGTGTATGAGAATTTTACAATCAACGTACCCATTCTATCTCCAGAGCGCAAAATCAACATCAAAGCTATGGTAAAGTACCTAGATAGCCCCAAAATAGAATCACCCCTTTGCATACTTCCATCCCTTCTTCTTTTCAGACCGGAAAGCAAGCAGCGTCCCTTCTCTCCCCTGCTTTCTCGCAATTTCCACAACCAAGAATCGCACAAAATCACCCAGTGTCCAGTAACTGCTATGCGCACTCAGCATGTTGAGATACTGGATATTCAAGGGGCCGCCACCACCCGAGAGATAATAATCAATTTGACCGTTGTCGTTGAGTAGAAGCATGCGTTTTTCGGCAATCTCTTCGCGAGTGAAGTCGTGGGTCTCGAGCTCGACATTGGACGGGAGCTTGGAGACTGCTGCTGGGCGGGTAGGGGCTGTGGAGGGCAATAATGTTGGAGAGGTTGAGCTCCAGCGGAAGACGCTCCCGAAGGATTGCCAGAAGGTGGAGGTCGAGCTGGGGATGGAGCCCATTTTGAGTGAGTTGGAGAGGTCTGAGTCTACTGCTGCATTGACTCGGTACGCGATTGCTAGCAGCGATTGTTAGTATAACAGACGAAGAGGATGCGGATATCTTTTCGGCAGGCTTCCACTTACGGTCCGTTGTGTGCATGATATTGTAGAGATTGTCTACGGCAAGGCAGCCATATTGACCTGCTTCGCCGGCAACGCCACGAAGTAAGTCGTCACCATCGCTGCCTGGCTTGTCTCTGCCTTTCCGGGGAAGCAGACTAGCTGTGACGATGTCAGATACAAGGCAGTACTATGTAGGTTTCAAACATACCTTTATTGAGAAGCAAAAAGAAGCCGACTGGGCTTCCGCACAGGAAGAGATGCCTTGTATCAAACTCGAAAATGTCGCTGTGTAAAGCCGTACTGGAAAAGTCAAACCGAGGAACATGTGTTGGTTGCTGGCTGAGAATGTCTACAGCCATCACGCTTCCAAGCGAATGAGCGATGAGATGTACGCGGCCGTGGTCTTGGAACCCTGGGTTGTTTTTACACCACAGGCGATACACACGGTTCGCTTCTCTAATCACCGCCTTGACCATCTTCGGTTTGTGGTGTGACAGATAGTAAGGGATGTCGAGCATCACATCACTGATCAGGGATCGGATAGCGGGAAGAGTCTGGGGCGTGATATCCGCAAGAGAAAAGTTGTTGCTAGCCGGGTCGATGACCGACTCAACATCGGGCTCATCCAACGACAAGTTCGTGCGCCAATTCACAGGAAGAACCATGATTCCCCCATGGTCCTGGCGCACGTGCGGCCAGACGGGTTCGTTGTTGAGCTCCATGTTCACCTCTCGCCGAAAGGCATTGATGGCATGAGTGAAATGGAAGCTTTCCATCCTCTCCGATAACTTTTGCCCGATGCCGTGGATAACGAGAACCAAGTCCGTTGGAGGTGGTCGCGACTCTTCCATCTTGCATGCATAGCATATTTGTTCACCTCGCGCAGCAGGACTTTTCGACTGCGTCTTACGGATGTAATGGCGCACGTCGATAGGATTGGGCTTTGATGGGTGCAGTTGTTCCCATGATTTTCGACTAAAGCCGCGAACCACAGGTATGCCTATCTGACGGCCTTTCCTTATTGCACTAAGAGGTCGTCGTCCCCTCGATACTGAGGGAAGCAAGCTGGGCCGAAGCACTTGGGCATTTATTGCGTCAACGTAGATGGCACTCGATGTGAGGTATGACTTGATACTCTCAGATTGAACGGATGTGCCACCAGCAGCTCGATTTTCGTGGAATCTCAAGGGATCATCCGCCTCATCCAGAGGCGAATCAGTACTATGTGGCGCTTGTGCAGTTGTAGGCTGGCTGTCTTGTTTTGTCCACAGCGGGTGAACAATTTTCAACTCGGCATCAGCCCCGTTTTCCACGCAACTATTCAGTTCATCTTGCCAAGTGTCGGTCCATGGCTTCAAGTAAACGTAGCCTTCCTCCAATTTGTTCGCAAGCTCAGTCTCAACAGGCAACATAGTATTCTTGTAAAACCAAGTAGCTCGGACCACACTTGATATGTCCTGAAGAGGGCTCCAGTAGATAGGTTTCATCTGAAAAAGAAAATGTTATTACGTACAGTTCAGAGCCGAGTAGAGAAATTGTACTCACCTTGAGGTTCGGTAACTCGACCAAGTGAAGTCGCGAGACACCAACTGGAATCTTGGACTGCGTGTTTGACTCCTCTGTCCTCTCCCTCCGTGAGTCCTGAGTCAATTGATCTAGGCTCACAGTAGTTCTGAGGCCTGAAGGCTTCGGGACACTTCGAGGAGCAGCACTGGTCCGGAGCTCTGCCTGAAATTCGCCTCCTTCTCTTGATGAAGACGACTCAAATGAGCGACCAAGTGGCGTCTGAGGCTGAGATACCGGCGCCCGTATAAAAGGAGAGCCACTCATGCTTGCATTGTGAGAACGATCAGCTCGTAGACTTCCAATCTCCTCGCCTTCGTCCACGTTCTCGGTCTCCGGTGGAGAACTACTTCTTCTTTTGGTTGGACTAGACTCATTGACCGAAGACGAGCGCGCTCTTTTCCGATCGATGGCAATTCCTCTCGAAGTGTCATGTTTAAGCCCATCACTCAGTGGGGAGCCCGCGCGATTTTCCTTGCCGAGTTCACGGGTTCGTATTGCAGCACTGCCGGTAGCAAAAGCGAGGTGACTCTTGTGACTGCGAGAGGGTAGGTCGTCCGGGAAGGAAGGAGGGTTGCTCAAAGTGCTTCCTCTACTGCCGACCAAGGAGGGATCCTCTTGGTTGGCTGCCTCGCGGCGTTCGACATTTGAGACCGATTCATGTCCGGGTACAGCGATCCCAGGGGGGCCTGTCGATGTGTTTGGCCTGGATCTGTGGTTGGCCGCAAATTTGGTCTTTTTTGCTTCCCGTAGATCATGCCAAGCTTCCTCTAAGGCGATGTTATCTCTGGCCGAGAATGGCGTGGGAGGAAGTCTCTCACTCCCGGTCCCCTGGCTTGCAGGTGGAGGCAGGGGAGCCAGTGGATCATCGATCGGCAATGATGAGATATAGAAGAACTGTGACCGGATCTCCGGTGGTGTTGGAAGCGACTGAAATCTGGTGAGGTCCTGCTCTTCGTCCACCAGCAGGCAGCTCGGACCGTAGGTGTGGATCGGGCCCGCCATTCGGATATTTTGTACGGAGCCCCTGTGATTGAGCTAGTATTAATCTCCACCCCGGATATGGAGGGCTAAACGCGGGATGTATTGACGGTCATTGAGGGCCTGTTATGGACCACAACGCGTTCTGTCGGAAATACCACAGAGGTATGAACATTCAATGTTTACAGGTTCAAGAACTTGAGCGGTGACACCCGTGATCGTATAAGCCGATGACGTCGCCCCACGTGTTTTGTGTACAACCTCACCTTTTGCTTTTTCGCTTCAGTTGTCCATGTTAAATATTATTAATTTAATCATCGATGACCGACAAGGATCAACCTACATGGCCTGAATGTATATATGTATTTATTTCTTACATTTGTATTTTGGGTTCATATACTAGGAATACTAGGAAAAGGAAAGGATTCATTTGAGACGAGTTGCATTTGGATTACGATGATTGGTTTCAATCATCACTGGTAAAAACACGCAAAGACAGAAACAAAATAGTCAAAAAAAACGAGAAATAGCAGAAAGCACAACTGGCTAATTGCAAAACTGATAACGGCCAAGTCCAGTCCAGGTGGGACAGGACGGCCGAGACAGAAATAGCAAAAAGCAAAAAACAAAAAAAAAACGAAAGCAAGACAAGAATTGTTAGAGGGATTAATCAAAGACAGATAAAGTGCAAGTGAACGTAAGTTGATTTAGGAGGGAGAGATTCCAGAGTTCTGAGCGTCCCGGTACTGCTTCATGATCTCATGCTTCATCAGCTCTCCACGAACATGCGCATTGAGGGCCATAATCAGCTCAATGTGGCATTTATCGGCCTTCAGGATCTCCAGGAGATTCAGGATATCGTGGATTTGCTTCTTAATAACCGAATCGGGAGCCACAAAGGTCCGGATGCTCATGTTCTTGCAGATCCTTTTCCAATCGGCCAGAATAGTATCCACGCCAAGGGTGCAGCGGCTGGGTTCGCCGAACTGGAGGCGTTTGCGGTTTGCCTTGATAATCTTGTACTGCGTGGTTTGGTCGAAACGGAATTGAGGGACTCCAGGCATGTGCTTCCTCTCCCATCTTTTCTTCACCCTGTTGAGAGAGCTATGAGTGAGGCGACCGTCGTAATACTCCTTCATCAGGAATTCGTTGGCTGCGTGGGTGATCATGTTCTCAATCTCGGCGTACAGAATGGACTGCATGTCGGTGTTCAGAGTAATGGGAGCAGTGTTCTCAGTGACAATGCTGGGCTTGGATGAGCTGATCAATGCTCGATTATCGTCCCAAAACTGTGAAAAGTGTTAGTCACTGTAAGTAAATTTTTTTCCCCTTTCAAAAGCTGTGTCACAAAGCACTTACCATTCCCTTGATACTGCCAAGGGTTGAATGTCCCTTTCCGATGGCCTCCTTCAAACGGCGGAATTTCCTCTCGCGTGGCTCCTCGTTGTCCTCAAGGTATCCCTTCTTACCAAAGAGGTTCTTGGTGTGTCGCTTGCGCTTGGTTCCACGAGAGTCTTCGGAGCCTTCAGAACTGTAGGCATCAGGGCTTTGGGTGACACGATCCATAGTTGCGTTGCTGAGGGTCTTGCTAGCACTGGACTCTTTGCAGACGATGGAAGCTGCGCAGCTGTGTTCACCATTGGTAGACTCAGATCCGTGAACGGTTGTCTGATGCTGGGAAACATCGCGGATGGGGACATTCATGGTGAAAGTAGTTTTGTTCTCCGTCACGTTCGATTGGCGTGGCTCAAGAGACAGCGGTGGAACCTCGACATAGGCCATGGCGGCTCTATATTCTCTGAGCCATGCGGGGCTGTCAGGAGACGAGTCGTAGTCAGGGCGGAAATTAACCTCCATAAGCCGGGGATCATGGGGAACATCAGATGGATCAATTCCAACGCGAGGCGCACCGGCATAGGAATATTCGCGAATGAAACTGGGACGGCGCTCAGGGGAAAGAGGAGCTGGCACTGGAGATGTAGGTGACTCTTGCAGAGGCGCATCCGAAGCAGAACATCTGTGATCAAACTCGAACTCAGATGCGGCAGTCTCAGGTTCAGATTCATCCAAAGACCAATATCCGGGGGGGATAAAGGGAAGAAACCGGAGACGGCGACCACATGAGGCAAGGGGATGGGATAGCAGTCGGGGAGTACACAGGCGACCTAGGTTCGACTCTGCGTGTAGTTGTAACTTCGTAAGTGGGGCCAGGGCTCACAAACAGAGGACTCTCAGCTTTGCGAATGACGAAGTCAGGAGTCCGGTATCCCGAATGTTGGTCCGCATGGTAGATATCCGTAGACGCTGAATTGGGGGAGCGAAACGGTAGGCAGAAGATGCATTTTCTGCGTCGCGTTTCTCCCTTGCGAGGCGGTATTTCTCCTGTTCCTGGTCGAGGATGGCAATCAATTCATCCATTGCCTTCTCCACGGCGTTGGGTTGATCTTCTTGCTTGATTTCGGGCACTGGAGTAGCGCTGCGAGTCACTGCACCCTGAGCTTCCGGAGAAGATTTGTGGCCAGTGGGAGAAGCTTCGTACCACGAAGTTGAACTGTAACCGTAGCGAGGGGGACTGGTGCTGGCTTGAGCATCAGGGGCTTCAAATGTAGGACCAGCGGATGGAGCCAAGCCTTGGAAAGCAGAGGAGCCATTGTCGTAGGAGGCCTGGGCGTTGAAGTCGTGATACGAAAAGGGTGGCAAGAGCGGCTCAGATCCATTGGGTTGAATAAATGGAGTCTCGTCATCGTATCCTTGCAGCTTGCATTCCTCGAGAAGCAGATTCGGTTTCATCTTTTCACTCGAGTGGACAGTGCCATAGCCAACTGCCTTCTGCCCAACTTCGATGGCGGGTTCAGAAGCTTCCTTTTGAGCAAACGAGGCATTGCCGTGGTGGCCTTGCATGTCGGTTCTGTTAAGCACGTAATAAGCGCTCATTTTGTTGATATCCCGCCCATGACCTTGGGAAACATCATCCTGACCAACGGTGGTGGTCGGCCGAGGAGCTTCCTGTGGAGGAATGGGTGGCAACGGCTTGGTAAAACTGTTCGTCATATTAGCTTTCACGTTCAACAAGTTTAGGTAAGGATGGCCCTTACACATCATTCTTGTTCACAGCTGTTCCATTGCGACGAGCTGCACCGCGTTCCGCAATATCACGAAGGCCTTTAGCCATGCCAGGGCCACGGTCCGGGAAGGCGCGCTGATTCTTGTTGCGACTCCTCTTTGCGGTTTGAGGAACAACATGTGGATGCTGCCGCAACCATTGCTGGCGTTCCTCTTCGTAGAGGATTCCCGACTCGTGATCCCGGTCAATGGCGCTGAGAGTTGGCCAGGGACGAGTTGGTAAGGGTTCAGACATTGTTGGGTTTACCGTTTCAAATCTGCAGAAAGGTACACGCAAAGGTATGAGAAACAGAAGCGTAGAAAGTATCAAGAAGTATGGGAAGAAATAAGGAAAAGGATTGGAAGAAGAGGATACTTATACAGCTCTGTCGTCGAAATTTAGGGCTACAATGTGCCTAGTCGCAATTGCTATTGAATTGTTATTCATGGCTACCCAATAGAGTATAGTAGAAAAATCGAGGCCATTGTTGATGCCGAAAAGAGCATGTTGGGACCACATGGTCTGCAACAATAGGACTAGTCCAATAATGTGGCTGGAAATTCTCAGACAATAGGAACAAAGAAGATGGAAACAAAGAGAATGGAAATTGAAGAATATTGGAACAAAGGCAATATATGGGAACAAACAATGAATGAACAAACGGAAAAAAGAAATTAAAAAATAAAAACAAACAATAATATTCCGACTCAATAAGGCTGTTGATAGACCGTCCAATCAACCGTTCATTCAGCACATGATTCTACCTAGGTGGTACTAGTACTCGACTCTAAAAAGACAACATGATATTGACGACAGTGGCACATGCTCTATAATATGACCTAGATACGCATATTACAATGTCACGAATTATTGATATACAACCACCACACCTATTACAACCATTATAAAACAAAACCGCAGGTACTCTGTGAAATTATGAGTAATATATCGCATTTTGTGTGCTGTCACCACCCACCACTTTAAGAGCAAGTGCGTACAAAAATCTTGCAAAACATTCTTACTTACTCACTCCATATGCATACATAAGTAGCTGTTCCATATGTCTACAAGAAATGGCAGGATAGTTTTATTTTAATCATCCAATTCCACTTATCGTGCATAACTCACAAATACACATCATGTGTTTAATCTTGATATGATGCTTCCGTGTAGTTCATGTGTATAGTTCGGAGCGGGACAACTTGTACCCGAACTAAACCCTCTTTCGTCATGGTTGCCTCAGGTGTCAATATTTTTATGCTAAGTACGGATGGAACTATGTTATACATGGGATCATCCAAGCCACTGCATATATTATTAATTAGAGACAAGCCCTCTGAATGCTATTGCTATTGCCATAACCACATGTGCATGTAGCAATGCTTCAATGTTGTGTTTTTCCGAAAGACGGGTGGAGCCGATTCATTTGCCATGGACTAGACCGAGGAAACAACATTAAAGTAGGTGCTAGACATCATGGGTATTTCATCTAGAGCATGGCACGGAACTTCGGGTTATCTGCATTGTAAGTACCAGGTTAAACTACCATGATGGCGTGGGACTTAGCGGATAAGGCGGCAGGGACTTTAGTAAACTCGGCAGAACGGGATGAGGGGAATAATGAAGCCTGTATTCAATAATATTCAAAGTGATAGTCCGCTAGCCATTTCTGGGTCTAGATGTGGATTGGGCAATTTTCCTCCGATGTACATAGGTACTCCGTACGGGAGTATAGACGTGTTGTACATAGTAAGGTTCCAGAGAGATCCCGGCCAGGGTTGCCGAGGCGGGGTCACGTGCCTTCCAGTCCGCTTACCGAGATCGTTCCCGGGTGGAGCAGCAGAAAAGAGGAGCAACCCAGTCAGACTGGAGCCCCTACGGCTACCAGCTCGGGATCAACGACGATATTATGGACATTATGCAAAGCCAGCCCTGCCCCCACACGGCGCTTGTTTCTGTGATTCTGACAAATCGTCCATAATTCCTTTTCTGGCGAACCTGATTGGCTACCCCGACCCTCGAGCCGGTGCTCCCCACGATTCCGCGGACTCTGAATGCCGTGGATGTTCTCCGTTGCTTCAGTCGAACACCCAATCCGTCCACTTACCCCAGTTCCCGAACAGTATATAGGGATAGCCATGGCCCTCGTCCATTTTCTTTCGGTCATCGTGCAGGGTGACACTCTGATCTACTCTGCTTTTCTTTCAAGTCATATATACGATTATTTACGCTGATCATATCTCCATTCGCCATACAATTCATACCTACCCCCCCCACCTTAATCCCTGTGTTTGATTTTCAGCATGGTGCAACAAGAGAATTATGACATTGTCATCGTGGGCGCCGGGCCCGTCGGTCTGCTCTTATCCCTGTGTATGTCAAGATGGGGTTACAAAGTGAAGCACATCGACAACCGCCCAGTGCCGACCGCTACTGGTCGCGCTGACGGCATCCAGCCGCGATCTACTGAGATCCTGCGCAACCTTGGCTTGAAGCGCTCGATTATGGCTTACGAGCCTGCCAAGGTGTATGACGTTGCCTTTTGGGATCCCAAGGGTGACGGCTCTGGCATCGGCCGTACTGGCAGCTGGCCTAGCTGCCCTCGTTTCATTGACACCCGCTACCCTTTCACCACCCTGGTCCACCAAGGCAAGATCGAGCGCGTGTTCTTGGATGAAATCAAGAAGGCTGGCACAACCGTTGAGCGGCCATGGACCATCGTTGGCTTCAAGAACGATGGCGCGAACGCTGATTACCCTGTTGAAGTCAACCTGAAGTGTCTGGATACCAATGTGATCGAGAATGTTCGCGCCAAGTACTTGTTCAGTGGTGAGGGTGCCCGCAGCTTCGTCCGCGAGCAGCTTAACATCAAGATCCACCACAAGGATCCTATTGCCTATGTTTGGGGTGTCATGGACGGTGTCGTGCGCACTAACTTCCCCGACATTGAGGTAAGCATGCCCGGAATGGCCCAATATGACGTATTTCTCTAATACATTGATATATAGACAAAATGCACCATCCACTCAGACGCTGGCTCTATCATGGTCATTCCCCGCGAGGACAACATGGTCCGCCTCTATGTCCAGATCGCCTCCTCCACCGACGCCGATTGGAACCCCCGAAAGACTGCCACCGCCGAGGAGGTCCAGCAGACCGCGAAGAACATTCTGAAGCCATACTGGATTGAGTGGGATCGGGTGGAGTGGTACTCTGTCTACCCTATTGGACAGGGTATTGCTGAAAAGTACACCCTTGACGAGCGAGTCTTCATGGGTGGTGACGCATGCCACACTCACAGCGTCAGTACTCCCCTTTGAAGTCCTTGTTGTTCTGAAAATAGCGCTAACACACGTAAAGCCCAAGGCTGGCCAAGGAATGAACACTGCTTTCCATGACGCACTCAACATGGCATGGAAGATCCACGCCGTGGAGAGTGGTCTTGCCAACCGTTCCATTCTCAGCACTTACGAGAGCGAGCGCAAGGATATCGCTGAGACCTTGTTGGACTTCGATGCCAAGTACGCAGCCCTGTTCTCCAAGCGTCGTCCTTCTGCCGGCGAGGTAGGTTCTGCCAGCCACACCACCGTGGGCGCTGGTGGGGAGGAGGACGAATTCGTCAAGACCTTCAAATCATCTTGCGAGTTCACTAGTGGATACGGAGTGGCCTACCAGCCCAACATTTTCACCTGGGACGCGAGCCACCCTGCCAAGTCCGCTTTGTTCAAGATCCCCGGTGTTCATCTGACTCCGGGTCGCGCTTTCACCCCGACCACCGTCACCCGTCTTGCAGATTCCAACTTTGTCGAACTTGAGCAGGAGGTGCCCGCTAACGGTGCATTCCGCATCTTCGTCTTCGCTGGCAACCAGTCCAAGACTAAGAAGGCCATTGCCGACTTGGCTGCCAACCTAGAGAAGGAGCGCTCGTTCCTTTCGGTATACCGCCGGTCTGATATTGCTGATGTGTCATTCTTTGAGCGCCACAACCCTCACTCCAAGCTTTTCACCCTGTCTATGATCTATGCAGGCTCCAAGAACACCATCGATGTGGACTCCATCCCCCAGGTCCTCCGCGACTACCACCACCACCTCTATGCCGATGATATCCCCGATGTGCGTGTTCCCCAGGCTCAATTTGCAGCCCATGAGAAGCTAGGCTTTGATGTTGAGAAGGGTGGTGTTGTCGTCACTCGCCCCGACAGCCACGTTGCTTGCACCGTGCAGCTGGTTGAGGGAAGTGGCACTGTTGACGCTCTCAACGAGTTCTTCAATGCGTTCTCGACGAAGCCGCTGGGCCAGGACTCTCAGCAGAGCCGTCTGTGAGAATTTTGACGTGTTTATGAGTTTGTATTTTACCTTCGAGATGTATATAGCTTGTTTGGTTCGTTGCGAGCGATAGCTTGAGCATGACCGGCGTTTACTTTCAATTTTCTTATAAATAAATAAAATTACAATTCAAGAACCCAATTCCCTGCACACTTATGTCTTTCATCCATATCTCGTAGTCTTGATACGCTCAATGTTTACAGAGTTGGTCACATGCCAAGCCTCGATCTACGTTAAGTATTTTCCATCTCCACCCCGCATCACCTGCAGAGAGGATCTTGATTTCAGCCATCACACCTCAAGATCAAGATCACCCACTTGACTTCAAAAGCCAAAATGCTCACTCTTTCGGTCGAAGCTCAACTGGAGGGGTAAGTGCTTCTAGCTTATGTATTCGGTTATCGAGCCTTTGCAGGTGCCTCGATCTCCCCGCACTGCACTCCAATTCCAGGAATACCACGCGGGCAAATCCTTTCGGCCACCGTTATCAAAGAGGCAACCAGCTAATATGATTATACAGCGTTACTGCCCTTCTGCCCACTGACACTGAGGAAAATCCCTACTTTTACACTTTCCGAGTGCAATGCACCTCCTGCCACGAGACGCACCCCAACTGGGTCAGCTTCAACCGTTTCGTACGTGAATTACTTACATATCGCTCTCTATCTCGTCACGATTGAATGGCTTGTTAACTGGATTGATATATAGGAGGTGCATGAAATCCCCGGTAGCCGCGGCGAGGCTAACTTCGTGTGGAAGTGCCGACTATGCACGGTAAGCGAGCTAATTTCTTTTTACCTTCAATCTAATGGCCTTGAAGAGTTTCATTTTTACCCTTTCTTGCGAGTTTCTTGCATTTCAATTCCACTTCGCTTTGTTGGCATCAATCATTTGGCCTTCGTGACTTTTCCGATGATTACACAGCTAAC